TTCTCTCCTGCAGGTGATGGCACATCCTCTGACTCCCTGGGGCAGGTATGTCTGACCCGTGGAGGGGACATGGTTCTGGGGGCAGGAGGGCAGTGGGCTGCAGCAGATGCAGCTGGTCCAGCTGGACCCCTTCGAGAGGCACTGTGGGGAGAGGCACTGCCCGCCATCTGGAACCCAGGCCCCCTGCTGCCGGCCGGCCCGCCTCAGAGGCTGATTCTCCGGTGGGTCAGGGCCTGACCACAGCCGGACGTCTTTCTGGCCCCCCCTCTCCTGCTGGGCTGTGCACAGCTTCCAGTCTTGATGGCTCCTTGCACCTTCGTCCCTGGCTCCCTGTCTCCCCACCATCTCCGTTCTGATGTCCTTTTTAACATTTATTTTTATTGATTTCAGAGAGGAAGGGAGAGGGAGAGAGAGAGAGAGAGACATCAGTGATGAGAGGGAATCATGGATCGGCTGCCTCCTGCACGCCCCACATGGGGGATGGAGCCCACAACCCGGGCTTGTGCCCTGACCAGGAATCGAACCCTGACCTCCTGGTTCACAGGTCGACGCTCCGCCCCTAAGCCACGCGGCTGGGCTGTTCTGATGTCCTTTCAAGCTCTGGAGTGGGTCACACAGAGGAGGCCATCGGAGTCAAGGGTGACTCCTGGGAGAGTCACCAGCTGGGACGGGGCCTGGCTGCGCTGTGCGGCTCTGGGGAAACCCTTTCATTCCGTGGGGCCTCCGTTTCCCAGTGTCTTTGGCAGCCGCCATGGATGTTGTCCTAAAGCGCTCACAACAGGAGTTTCACCTGTGGGGCCGCATCTGGTTTTCAAAATAGGACATGCCTCTTCCAATGACCCTCCCAGGCATGTATGGGTGTGGGCTGCGGAGACTGGGAGGCAATAGGAGGCCCCAATTACTATGCTGAGGAGCAAGCGCACCCAGAGGAGCCTGCGTCGCCTGCCTCCAGCCTCCCAGGGCCCGCAGGGCGCAGTCTAGAAGGTCCTCGCACCCTGCCGCTAGGGGGCGCTGCCGAGACTCCCAACAAGACAGGAGAAGCCCCTGTGGTGGCTGGACCATTCCCGGGGCCACAGGGCCGGGCTGTGGGAAAAGGACTCCTCTACAGCCACTCGGCTCAGCCCAGCCAGGCAGAGGCTGGCGGTGACAGGCCTTGCACTTGCCAACAGCCAGGGTTCACCCCTGCCGCCTCCAAGCACGAGGAAGCCAGAGGAAGACAGAGGAAATGAGGAATTCAAAGGAAGCCAGAGGAAGCCGGAGGAGCCTGACCGGTTTGGCTCAGTGGGTAGAGCGTCGGCCTGCGGACTGAAGGGTCCCAGGTTCAATTCGGTCAAGGGCATGGACCTTGGTTGCAGGCACATCCCCAGTGGGGAGTGTGCAGGGGGCAGCTGATTGATGTTTCTAGCTCTCTATCTCTCTCTCTTCCTCTATGTAAAAAATCAATAAAATATATATTTTTAAAAAGGAAACCAGAGGAATCCGGAGGAAGCCGGAGGAATCCGGAGGAAGCCGGAGGAAGCAGGAGGAAGCCGGAGGCAGCCGGAGGAAGCCAGAGGCTGAAGGAGGAAGCCGGAGGAAGCCAGAGGCTGAAGGAGGAAGCCGGAGGAAGCCAGAGGCTGAAGGAGGAAGCCGGAGGAAGCCAGAGGCTGAAGGAGGAAGCCGGAGGAAGCCAGAGGCTGAAGGAGGAAGCCGGAGGAAGCCAGAGGCTGAAGGAGGAAGCCGGAGGAAGCCAGAGGCTGAAGGAGGAAGCCGGAGGAAGCCAGAGGCTGAAGGAGGAAGCCGGAGGAAGCCAGAGGCTGAAGGAGGAAGCCGGAGGAAGCCAGAGGCTGAAGGAGGAAGCCGGAGGAAGCCAGAGGCTGAAGGAGGAAGCCGGAGGAAGCCAGAGGCTGAAGGAGGAAGCCGGAGGAAGCCAGAGGCTGAAGGAGGAAGCCGGAGGAAGCCAGAGGCTGAAGGAGGAAGCCGGAGGAAGCCAGAGGCTGAAGGAGGAAGCCGGAGGAAGCCAGAGGCTGAAGGAGGAAGCCGGAGGAAGCCAGAGGCTGAAGGAGGAAGCCGGAGGAAGCCAGAGGCTGAAGGAGGAAGCCGGAGGAAGCCAGAGGCTGAAGGAGGAAGCCGGAGGAAGCCAGAGGCTGAAGGAGGAAGCCGGAGGAAGCCAGAGGCTGAAGGAGGAAGCCGGAGGAAGCCAGAGGCTGAAGGAGGAAGCCGGAGGAAGCCAGAGGCTGAAGGAGGAAGCCGGAGGAAGCCAGAGGCTGAAGGAGGAAGCCGGAGGAAGCCAGAGGCTGAAGGAGGAAGCCGGAGGAAGCCAGAGGCTGAAGGAGGAAGCCGGAGGAAGCCAGAGGCTGAAGGAGGAAGCCGGAGGAAGCCAGAGGCTGAAGGAGGAAGCCGGAGGAAGCCAGAGGCTGAAGGAGGAAGCCGGAGGAAGCCAGAGGCTGAAGGAGGAAGCCGGAGGAAGCCAGAGGCTGAAGGAGGAAGCCGGAGGAAGCCAGAGGCTGAAGGAGGAAGCCGGAGGAAGCCAGAGGCTGAAGGAGGAAGCCGGAGGAAGCCAGAGGCTGAAGGAGGAAGCCGGAGGAAGCAGGAGGAAGCAGGCTGCACCGCTGGGGAGGAGGCAGGCCCCAGGGCAGGGCTGTTTCCAGGGTGGCCAGGACAGGGCAGGTGGAGTGGGTGTGTGGAGACACCCTGTGGCGAGAAGCAGGAACCACATCCCGTTCCCTCAAAGGCAATGGGCTAAGTGGATGAGCCTCCTCTGAGTCTGAGTGGCTGGTGCTGCTGGACCGGAGCTGCCTGGCAGGCTTGCAGGCCTCACAGGGCCTCTGGGTCCACTGTGCCGGCGCCTCTGTGGGGGATAGAGGCACCGCCCACCTGGTAGCCCCACCACCCGCCGCTGTGGGACCTGGGTGACTTACCTCTTGGAACCTCCGTTTTCTCACCTGTGAAATGGGCTTCATCGGATCGCTGCTGGGGTGGGGCAGGGCGCTCCCCTCCAGGCCGGGCACGGAGTCAGAGCCAGTGACGCTGGCGCTCCTGCAGGGGTTCTGCCGCCCCGTCACACCTCTAGTGAGGCTCTAACAGCAGCGGCTCAGCCAGGGTTCTGCAAGTCCCCCTCAAAAAAACAGTCGAGTTGGGACTGCGGTAGGTCCCATCCCAAGATGATGTTTATTCCCAAGATGGGAAGGGTGTGAGCTGGCTCGCCCTCCGGTGGGGCAGGCCCAGTGCTCCAGGTGGGAAGAGGTGCGGGCTCCCCTGTGTCCCTTCCCCACCCCTTCCCTGGCATCCCCACGACCAGGCACCGAAACAGACGTAGGTGTCTCCCTTCCATTCTAAAGAGGAGAGTATAGCCCGGTCTGCGTGGCTCAATGGTTGAATGTCGACCTATGAACCAGGAGGTCATGGTTCCATTCCCAGTCAGGGCACATGCCTGGGTTGTGGGCTCGATCCTCAGTAGGGGGCGTGCAGTAGGCAGCCGATCCATGATTCCCTCTCATCATTGATGTTTCTATCTCTCTCTCTCCCTCTCCCTTCCTCTCTGAAATCAATAAAAATATATTTTAAAAAAATACAGAGGAGATTATTTATAGGTTTGGCTAACCCAAGTGACCAGGGCAAGACCGAATTGGCAAAGGACAGAGTTGAGATTGGGCTATGGGCTCATTTCTCCCCCCTGAGCTCAAGCACTGCTCAGACCACAGCCCCTCAGGTCCGGATTTGGGGGTGTGGTGTGCTTACTCCTCCACGCCCCTCCCTGCCCCTGCCCCTGCCTGGACTGGGCTGCTCACTCACCTCTTCCTCTCATTCTCCCTACTTCTCCCGGGAGGGCCGCTGGGGACTGTGAGGGCAGGAGGGCAGTGTAGCTGTGTGTCCGAGAGCCACTCTGTGCCCACCTGAGAGGGACTGCAGCGTTGGCCCCTCCTCTGGAGCCAGCTGGGCCGACCAGGGGCCGCCAGGGGCTGAGTCAAGGCCGCTGGCTCTGCTTCGGGCACCGGTGTGGCCCAGACACAGGGCGGGCCCTCACTCAGAACACACGGTCAGCCTCGCGAGCAGGCCCCGCCGCTTCCCCGACTCCGCTGCTGGGGCCCTTCACAGTCTGAAGGCCGGTTTGTTCTTTAATTGGTTTTTATTGCTTTCAGAGAGGAAGGGAGAGGGAGAGAGAGAAACATCAATGATGAGAGAATCATGGATCGGCTGCCTCCTGCACGCCCCCCACTGGGGATGAAGTCACAACCTGGGCCTGTGCCCTGACCAGGAATTGAACCGTGACCTCCTGGCTCACAGGTCGATGCTCAGCCCCCGAGCCACGCCGGTCCAGGCCACCCAGCCCTTCTGATCGCACCCTCCAAACAGCCGTGCTTCTCGTTTCCAGTCGCTCACGGGCAGCCCTGCGCTCCAGGGCGTCTGGTGGCCGAACCTGACCCTGGAAGTTCCCACGTCATTTGGGCTCCATGTTGCCGGACGGTCTCCTGCGTTGGCTGCGCCTGGCCTGCGTTGCTGAACTCTCAGAGGGCTGCTCCCGGCTTCCTGCCGCCCCGGAGCTAGCAGCAGCCCCCCACTTGCTGGCTGTGCTCCCGGCGGCACGTTCACATGCAGGAGTGGCAACGAGGACCCCCTTTGTGACCCTCACAGTTTCCCATCTCGATGCTCTTCTCTCCGGCCTTCAGAATGAGGCCCTGCTCCTCGGACCTGTCAGCTGGCTCTCCACAGGGCACAGGAAGCGCAGCGCGAGGCTGGACCTGCACAGACCCGGGCACTGCGACCTGGCAGTCAGGGCTGAGCGCAGCAGTCCTGTTGGGGCGCCCTCTGCCCGCCGCGCCCACAGGCTCAGTGAGCGCCGGCTGGCAGCACCCTGTCACTGTCGCTGGGCTCATCCAGCTCCGTGTGGCCAGCAGCCACCATCGAGCCCAGGTCGTCCTCACAGCTGACGAGGAGCAAGGCCAGCAAAGTGCTTGCACCTCACACAGTGCAGAGGAAAGCTGTCCGTAGGGCGAGCGGAGGGAGAGAGATGAATGAATTTCAAACAGAAAAAAATCCGAGGAGGCCTCCCCCCACCCCCTGCCACCCCAGCAATCAGCTGGGGAGCAGCTTGACTATTCAAGCTGTTTGATCAGCCGCCATACTTTGGGCCAGTCACATAATTTCTCTGCCTCGGGTTCCTACTGTGTAAGAGGGATTATAAAGTTCAGACGTCCCGTCATGAGAGAACAGCTGTGTAGGGCTAACCTTCCACCCCACCAGCAGCTGCCGTCTAACGCAAATGCAACTGAGTCCGTGAGGGAAGAGAGAGGGTGGTCAGAAGGAGCCTGGAAGGCATTGATGGCTCAGCCCTGCACATTTAGGGAGAGGCCTTCACTGAGAAACCCAGGAAGCTCAGTGAGCCCCTAACAAGTGAACACGAAAAACACACCCAGGCATATGATGATCAAACTGCGGGAATCCAAAAGTAAGCTTTTATGCTGAAAGCTTCCCGAGAGCAGCAAAGAGGAAACGGTCACTGCTCACAGACACCCCACTCCGCATGCCATGGAGAGTACAGCCACCGCGACACAGGGCTGGAAGACATGAATACTGGGAAGGAAGCAGTGAAACAGGTGACATGGGAATTTATGTGGATAAAACCTTGCTAGAGCTAATAGTGAATTTAGCAAGGTTGCTGGATACAAGGACAATATATACCATAAACTGTAGCTCTACACACAAGTAGCAAATGATTGGAAAAGAAAAAATTCCACTGAGAATCTTATCTAATAAAAGAGAAACATGGTAATTAGCCATACGTCTGCTACCCTTCCCATTGGCTAATCAGGGTGATATGCAAATTAACTGCCAGCCAAGATGGTGGCCGGCAGCCAGGCAGCTTGAAGCGAACATGAGGCTTGCTTGCTGTGGTGACGGAAGACTCCAACCTCCCCCGCCTGCCACTGCTGGCCTCTGAGCTTGCAGTTTGAAACATTGTTACAAATATAGAAACTAAACAAAACCCCAGAAACCTGCTTTCAGCCAGCTGGGATCTCAGAGCTGGAGTTGAAACAGTGTTTCGATTATAGAACCCAAACAAACCAGATACCTGCTTTCAGCAGCTGAGGCCAAAGAGCTAGAGCCAAGCCTCAGAGCTAAAGCTGGCCCAGAATAAAAAAGAAAAAAAGGAGTGGTTGGGAGCTTCAGTCACCCTCCAGCCTGAAAACAGCCCTCAGCCCCTCACCCAGACTGGCCAGGCACCCCAGTGGGGACCCCCACTCTGATCCAGGATACCCTTCAGCGCAAATCAGCCAGCCCCCACACGTGCACCAGGCCTCTATCCTATATAGTAAAAGGGTAATATGCCTCCCGGCACCAGGATCAGCGGAGCCAAGAGGCCTCCCGGCACTGGGATCAGCGTGACAGGGGGTAGAGCCCAAACCCCCTGATTGCCCTGTGGCTCTGTGTGTGACAGGGTGCGGTGCCCCAACCCCCTCCCCCCCCCCACGGGCCCTGCTCTGTATGTGACGGGGTAGAGCCATAACCTCCCCATTGGCCCTGCCCTGAGTGTGAGAGTGGCGGCGCCCCAACCCCCTGATCGGCCCTGCTCTGTGGGTGATAGAGGGCGGTGCCCCAACCCCCCAATCGGCCCTACCCTGAGCATGACTGAGGGTGGCATCGCAACTTCCCGATCCGCCCTGCTCTGTGCATGACAGGGGGCGGCGCCCCAACTCCTCAATAGGCCCTGCTCTGAGCCCGACCAGGGGGCTGCACCTAGGGATTGGGCCTGCCCTCTGCCACCCGAGAGCAGGCCTAAGCCAGCAGGTCGTTATCTCCCGAGGGGTCCCAGACTGCGAGAGGGCACAGGCCTGGTTGAGGGACCCCCCACTACCCCCCAAGTGCACAAATTTTTGTGCACCGGGCCTCTAGTAGTTTCTATAATAATAAAAGTGTAATATGCTAATTAAGCCAGATGTCCTTCTGGACAACCTTCTGAATGAAGCCAGGGCTGCAAGGGGGCCAGAGGGAAGCCAGTGCCGGAAGCTGGGGGAAGGAAGGCCCACTCTTGCATGAATTTTGTGCATTGGGCCTCTAGTTATAAATAATAAAATACTTAGGAAAGTCTTTTTTAAAAGGTGCACTTAAATTAATAGCACCCAAAATTACAAAATATTGTGCACTGAAAATTACAAAAATATTGCTAAGTAAAATTTAGAAAGACCTAAATAAATGAAGAGATATACAACACTTATGAACTGGAAAGACTCAACCTTGAAAAGATGTAATTTTTGCCAAAGTAACCTGTAGGTTTAATGTATCCCTAGGAGACTTTGCTGATAGAATTTTATAGGCTCATTTTGAAATGTATATGGATGTTCAAAGGACCAAGATAACCCTGCGAAAGCCAATCAAAGCTGAAGAATTTATAGCAGATACTGTAAGACTTACTACAAAGCTGTGGCAATTGAGACAGTGCTATGTGGACATGAGGATAGACCAACTGATCAATAGAACACAATAGAGGTTATAAAAATAAACTTGCACTCACACAGTGCATTGGTTTGCAGTCAGACTGTGCTACAAACACATGTGAAGGGAGCTCCTGGGCAGGAGGAGTGACGCAGGTGGAACGTAGACCTATGGGAGGAACAGAGAGCATGAAATGTGATAGATGTGTAGCCAAGTTAATTTTTTCCTCATTTAAAAATCTTTTAAAAAGTTAATCACAACAAAAATATCAATGCCTTCTGGGCGTATAGCATACGTGGAAGTAAAGTGTGACGAGAACATCAGGAAGGAGATGGGATAGGAATAATGTATACAGCAGGTCCTCCAATAACATTGTTTTGTTCAACATGCTTTTGTCACAGTGTTGATGGGATGCCTTAGGGGCTTCATTCTTGTTTATATCAGTTAGCCTGGGGTACAATTGGTCTTTCACAGGCCATTTCCCTGAAAGTTGCAGAACCTATCAATGCTGTGAAGTAGGACTTGCTGTTCTGTTAGAAAGTTTTTACATCAGGAGTTGACAAACTATGGCTCTAAGATAAATCCAGCCACTACTTCTGTTATTCCACAAGTTAGGAATGGTTTTTACATTTTTTAATGGTTAGGGGGAAAATCTAAAGATGAATAACATCTTGTGACATGTGAAAATTATGTGAAATTCAAATTTTAGTATCCATAAATGCAGTGTTATTGAAACCCAGTCATGCTCACTCATCTATATATAGGCGGTGGCAGGTTTGCTGCAACAGGAGAGGTGAGTAGTAACAGACTGCATGGCCCACAAAGCCTAAAATACCTACTCTTTGACCCTTTATTAAAAAGTTTACTGACTCTGCCCTCACTGGTTTGGCCAGTGGGTACAGCGTTGGCCTGGGGACTGAAGGGTCCCAGGTTTGATTCTGGTCAGGGGCATAGGCCTGGGTTGTGGGCTTGGTCCCTGTGGGGGGTGTGCAGGAGGCAGCCAAACAATGATTCTCTCTCATCATTGATGTTTCTATCTCTCTCTCCCTCTCCCTTCCTCCCTGAAATCAATAAAAATATTCTAAAAAGCAAATAGCAAGATGATAGTCTTATACCAAATAATAGTAATAATTATATTAAATCTAACTTGTCTAAATACTCCAATTAAATAGCAGAGATTGTCGGATTGGATAAAAAGTATGACTCAACTATATGCTGTTTATAGAAAACTCTTATTTATATAATATTTATATAGGTAGGAGTAAGAATAATAATAAGTAGGGCCCTAGCTGGTTTTGCTCAGTTGATAGAGCATAAGCCTGTGGATCAAAGAGTCCTGAGTTCAATTCTGGTCAAGGGCATGTATCTCAGTTGCAGGCTCCTCCCCAACCCACGCAGGAGGCAACCAATCGATGTGTCTCTCTCTGTCTTTCCCTCTCTTATTGGTATTTCTGGCTCATAACATGGCATATTCCAGTAATTGGTATTTCTCTCTGTATTTCCCTCTCTCTTCCACTTTCTCTAAAAATCAATGGAAAAATATCCTCGGGTGAGGAGTAACAGAATAAAAAACAAAAAAGAAAAAGAAAACTAAGTAGGAAATCAGCACATCATTTAAACCAGCGGTCGCCAACCTTTCGGACCTCACGGACCACCAGTGGTCCCCAGACCACTGGTTGGCGACCACTGATTTAAACTATCTTAAAAGGAAAAAACACGCAATCATGTCAATTAATGCAGAGGAAATTTTTGACAAAATTTAACATAGATTCTTAATAAAATCTTGGCAAACTAGGAATAGAAAAGAATTTACACAACCTGCAAAGGCTGTCTACAAAAACCTACTGTTCACATCGTACTTAGGGGTGGAAGGCCGAATGTTGTCCTGCTCAGATCAGGAGAAGCAGGACGTTTGCTTTTCCAGGTTCAGAGGTGCGATGGGCACATGGCATTGTGTGAGCCTAAGGTGTGCACCACCATTACCCTATGAATGTATGTTTGCAAAGATGATTACCACGTGTTTAGTTAACATTCATTGCCTCACATAATTGTTTTTCTTGTGATGAGAACTCTTGAGATCTACACTTTTAGCAACTGTCAAATATACAAATACCATGTTGTTAACCGAAGTCGCCATGTGCACATTTTAGCCCAGGGCATGTTAATACTGGAACTGGAGGCTTGTAGCATTTGGCCACCTTTGCCAAGTTCTCCCCCGACCCTGCCATGTTATAATTATTTTTATTCAATATACAATGTCCTGGAGGAGGTCCTAGCCAATGAAGTCATTTAAGAAAAAGAAATAAAAGGTATGTTGTTATAAAGGGAAGACTCAAAAATATTGTTACTTACAGTCAACATAATTGTCTATCTGGAAAAATCTAAAGCAATCCACAAAAACTCTAGGATCCCAGAATAAGTAAGTTTTGCAATGTTTTAGGATTCAAGTTCAATATACAAAAATTAATTTATTTCTACATACTAGTAACTAACAACTGGGAGTTTAAATTAAAAATAAAATGGACAGCCCTGGCCGAGGGCTCAGGGGACTGGGGCACGGCCCATCCCCTGACAGGTGGTAGGTGTGGTCCCCAGGCCGGGCTCACGCCTGGTTTCGGGTTTGACTCCCTGGGGCACACATACAGAAGCAGCCGGTCACTGTTTCTCTCACACTGACGTTTCTTTCTTGCTCGATCTCCCTTCCTCTCTCTAAAATCAATAAGCATGTACTCGGGTGAGGATTGGAAAAGTAGTAATAACATTTATAATAGCGTAAAAACATGACTATTCAGGGACAAATTAGCAAAATTTATACAGCACACTGACACCACAAATTACTGCTGGGAGAAACCAAAGAGGAGCTGGATAAACAGAGATGTGCCATGTTAGGAGCCAGAAGACTTAATATTGTTAAGGCACTAATTCTCCCCACACTGGTCTCTAGATTTACTGTATTCCCCATCAAAATCCCAGATTTTTTGAGGAATTGACAAGCTGATTTTAAAACTTATATGGCAATGTGAATGAGTGTAAAAGCAAAAATCCAAAACAACACACACACAACCTATGACAACAAAGAACAAGGTTGGAAGAGTTAATTCCTGATTTCAAGACTTACAATAAAATTACAGTAATTAAGACAATGCGTTGTGGTATACAATAGACTTTCAGATGCGTGGGACAGAGTGAAGTCCAGAAATAGATCAGCACATACACGGTTAACTGACTTTTCACAAAGGTGCTAAGGCATTTCAATGAGGAAAATAACAGTATTTTCCATAAAAAGTGCTGAAACAGTTGGGCGTCTAAATTACTTTTTAAAATGACCCTTGTCTCATACCATAAACATTTAACTTAAAGTAGTGGGTCAAAGTCATAAAAATCTTTGAAATGTTGGGTTAGTCACGATTTTTTTAGAGGGGACACAGAAAGCACAACTTCTACAGGGGAAAATAAATCAATATATTGGACTTAAAAAATGAATGGAAACCTTTTGCTTTTAAAAAGACATGGTTAAAAAAAATAAAAAAGGCAAGCCACAATGGGGTAAAAATATTTGCAAAACATTTATCTAGTAAAGGCCTTAGATCCAGAATCTATACTAATAAAAGGGTAATATGCTAATCAGACCAGGTAGACCAGATGTCTTCTGGACATCCTTCTGGACAAAGCCACAGCGGCTGTGAGGGCCGGCAGTGGCAGCAGCACGGGGGTGATAGGGGCGGTGCCTTCCCCTGATTGACCCAGTCGCCTCCCGCAGAGGGAGGCCAGACTGTGGCTTTGGCCTGCTCGCTGAGGGGAGCGGGCCTAAGCCATCAGTAGGACATCCCTTGAGGGCTCCTGGACTGTGGAGGGGTCAGGCCGGGCTGAGGAACCCCCCCACCCCATGCATGAATTTTTGTGCATTGGGCCTCTAGTCTATATATATAAACCCTCTTCCCACTCAGCAAGACAGCAAACAACCTGATTAAAAACTGGGCAAAAGCTTTGGAGAGACATGTCACCAATAAATGTAAAAAATGGCAAATAAACACATGAAAAGGAGTCCAACATCTTTAGTTACTAGATAAACACATATTGAAATCACACTGAGATTCCACTACTACACATCTACTAGACCGCTAAGAGTTTAAAAAACCCCAGGGGTGGGCAAACTTTCTGACTCGAGGGCCACAACGGGTCCTTAAACTGGACCGGAGGCCGGAACCAAAGCATGGATGGAGTGTTTGTGTGAACTAATATAAATTCAAAGTAAACATCATTACATAAAAGGGTACGGTCTTTTTTTTTAGTTTTATTCATTTCAAATGGGCTGGATCCGGCCCGCGGGCCGTGGTTTGCCCACGGCTGGATTAGACCATGTATTGGCAGGATCAGGAGCAACTGGAAGTTGTATGAGTTAGTGAGAAAGCGAAATGGCAAAGCCACTTAGAAAAACAATTTGTTGTTACTTACAAAGTTATATTGTTATTATATAACCTAACAAACCCACTCTTAGGTATTTGCCAGGGGAAATAAACACACAAAAACATTTATGCACAATCTGTTGGGATTTTGAGTGGAGTACATTAAATCTATAGATCAATTTAGGGAGAATTAACATCTTAACAATATTAAGTCTTCTGGCATATCTCCATTTATTTATCTACTAGAGGCCCGGTGCACAAAAATTTGTGCACTCGAGAGGGGGGGGGAGGGGGGGTCCCTCAGCCCGGCCTGTGCCCTCTCGCAGTCTGGGACTCCTCGGGAGATAACGACCTGCTGGCTTAGGCCTGCTCCCCGGTGGCAGAGGGCAGGCCCAATCCCTAGGTGCAGCCCCTGGTCGGGCTCAGAGCAGGGCCTATTGGGGAGTTGGGGCGCCGCCCCCTGTCATGCACAGAGCCACAGGGCCGATCAGGGGGTTTGGTCGCTGCCCCCTGTCATGCTGATCCCGGTGCCGGGAGGCCTCGCTGCTCTGCTGATTCTGGTGCTGGGAGGCTGCTCGGCTCCGCTGATCCCGGTGCACGGGTGGGGGCTGGCTGGTTTGCC